CCGGAAAAAGGGGCTGTTTTTGTGAAAAACCTGGCCAGTCTAGACACAGCCAGGAAGTTCACCCACCTGAGCGAGGGAATAACAAAGCTACTTTAAAAAAAAAATCTGAATTTCAGTTTAATCAAGTTGTTTGTGTCTGCAGCCACATAAGTGTTATGAATGCCAAATCAGTGCAACGTATCAAAAAACAAAGCTCCACACCAGTAGGTGTCAGAACCTTACACCTGCCCCAACTCTAGCCCAGTTCCCTGAGCTAGCTAGGGATGTTAAATTTCAATGAATCGGCTAATTGAATAGTTGATGCAAACTGCATCAGACTCTTCAATTAGTCAATAAAGGCGAAAGCACTGCAGGGATGGCAGGGCCCTCAAGCAGCCTCTGCCAGCCCACGTTTCAAAACAGCAGCACTGCATGGAGCCCTGGGTCAGCAGGGGAGTCACCCGCTGGCCCCGGGCTGCACAGGGCACTGCTCCTTTGAAACACTCCATCCTCCCCCCGCCCCTTGCTGCCTCTTTCCGGCACACGACTAGCGAGTTGCCTCGTCATTCGCATCCCTGCCCTGAGCCAGCTGAAACCCAGCCCGGTGGTTACCGTGGCAGCAAGAGGTTCCTCAGACCCGCTCGTTTCAGGTCCGGCCATTCAAGCTAAACGGGACTCGCGCAGAGCGTATGACACACGGTCCGCGCGGTCAGGGCTTTGGGCGAGCGCACAGCCCAAGAGCCAAGCGAACAGGGCTCCGAACGGGGCCGACGTAGCCACACATGCCCTGTGACGTCACCAGCGTGCGGCATCATCACCGCCTGCGTTGTGACATCACCGCACCTACTACAAGGCCTCACGTCATGGAGCCAGCTTGAGGCAATAGACCGCGCCCGACCCCATCTTCACGGCCTCCGGCCCTTCTGTTGCTATAGTTACTTTTTACCTGCCCGTCTCTTGCCCCCTTACTTCCGGAGCTGCCATACTCTAGCACCTCCCATGTCACGGGCGCGCCATTCCGACCCGCACTGCGCATGTCAGACCCAGCTCGCGTGAAGCTTCTCGAGACTGCAATCCCGCCAAGAACATCTCCCGCGAGAACAGTCTGTGCTGTGACATAGTCTGCCTTTCGCGCACGCGTATTCCAAACTAAGACCCACAGAGAGCTCCACGCATGCGCAGTGCTTTTGTTTCCCCCTTCTTACGCAAGCTCAGGGTTCATGGGAGGTGGCGCATGCGCAATTAAGTTTCAACATTTGCGTTTTTTTAACCTTTCCATCCCCTCGCGTTGTGCCGGTAGATTCCAAGCAAAGGGTTTTGGAGTTAGTGCGCATGCGCGTTGCCCGGGGAGGCGGGAGCGCTTTAATCTCGTGTAAATAAACAAACAGCAGCGGGGGAGGCAGGGCAGCGGTGCTTCGCGCGACAGCAGAGGGGTTAAGAGAGGCGGGCGGGCGGGCTGTAACACTTGTACACACTGACGGGACGGGGGTGTGGGGGCGGGACTGGC